TATGAATTTAAAAATTACAATTATCTTTTTTTTTAATCTTGCACTGAAGTACAACCCAATTTTTGACATTGTATCCAAAAGGTTTTGAACCCACGTTGCTATTAAAATGTCTAAGTAACGTCAAATATTATATTTTCTTTAGAAAAAAAAGTATACATTTCAATCACTGGACAAAAGTTTATAATGACAAAATAATTACTTATCATTTTATCAAATATATACTTTAAAGTTCTTGTAGTTATAATAAAAATTGATCTGCACAATGCGGTCGTAATACACACCATTGAAATATTGAGAACATGACAACGAGATTTCATTTAAACTTTAACACTTGAACAGCCAGGTGAAAGAAAACATATATTAATATTACATTAGAACCCCTCCGAATAAACTTGAATTTCTATCAATTTCTAATTGAAACGGACACAATATCAATACTTATTGTACGTCAATGTCAACTGGTTTTAGAAGTTATATATGATTAAAACTACATGATATATCTCAGTTTTTAATAACTGTATAAATATAATTTTCATACTTTGTTTAGTAATGAACTATAAATACATCTTTGCCATCAACGAAAATTTTCTGGAATAGTGGTTGATGTGTTGCCCAGGGTAATTTAAGACAATGAGACAGCAATCCAATGCAAAAATTAATTACAATATTGACCAGTGTCGAAACCACATTGCAAAATAAAAAGTAGGCTGTATTATTGCACATTTAAGTGCCTACATGTGTCAAGTTCTACATGAATCTGTCCTTATTTAAGACAAAATTAAGAGAAAAGTACATTAAAATAACCTAACGACAAGAACTGATGAGTTACATGTATCTTGATCACTGAGGGCAGGCAGTGAACATGTGGCAAGGTTAAATCAGTTTTCTGAACACTCAATTTCCTTCCCCCTTTTTCATCTGGATAAGAGGAATAACAAAGTCAAGGCATTTAGAAAACCTACTGAAAAAAAATCAAAGAAGAACCACATAACTCTTAAATATTGGTTTCAAAAAGCATTAACAAAAATACTGAACTTCAAGGTAAATTCAAAAAGGGGCAAGTCCATTAAACCTGACAAAATCAAAGGTTAGACTATATATCAACCAATGGAATACAACTTTACAAATAACTGACACCAAAAATAACATTTCTTGATATAAATCCATATTACAGAATGTTTACAGTTACTGAGTGATGAGACAGATTCTTTTACTGCTAAACATTCATTTTTAGAATGTAATTGAATAGGTTGAATATTTTTCATGCATATATATATATATGGTTTAAGAACATCCGTTGTTCGACCTGCTAGTCAAATGCGTTTTGTTAAAATATACTTTTTCACTTTTTTGGTCTTTTGGAAAATGTTGTTTGTGCTGTATTTAGACCCCTCTACCAAGAAATTTGTTTTGCATGCACACGTATAAAAATTGCGGTTTTTATCCAACGCAATCATAGGTTTGAACGTTGTTTTCAATTTAGACTTGTATATATATATATATATATATATATATATATATATTATACTGGGTGCATCCTCAGACATTTTTCATTCAGTATTAAACAGGGAAGTAGAATAAACTGTACAGTCATAAGTGTTTACTTACACTAAAATTGAAAATTATTTTAAATACAATTTTAGATTTTTTACAACCTTAGAAATCTATTCAACCTTGAACAATAAATATCTTACAAACTAATATAATCCAAAACTCAATTACATAATTTTATAGAGTGTTAAGAGTAAATTCCGCCTTGCATTCTTAATATTACAATCCACAATATTCAAACATTTAAAAATATTAAATAAGCTTAGACCATCATTACGGATGAGTAATCTTTAATACTGTATAATGAATAAAAAATATAATCAAACGATTTTTTATTATACAACTGGGTTACCTATCCAAGCGAATCAGAAATGATAGAAAAGCTGGTCTAGCGACAAGGCATTGGAATCTATTGATAATGGTATTAAAAGGCTTGTTGACAAGGTTCCTATCGATAAGATCATTCTGAACTTCCGCTGGCTTTAATCAACTATTGATGTCTAAATATCTTGCTTCTAGAAAATTCCAACTGTTAAAATTTATGGTACATAGAGTTATAAATTAAATCTTCTTAATTATATGTTGTCAAAACTGGCTGGAAATAATAGTTTGAAACACTTTTCTTTTTGTTACATAAGAAATAACCTTTAAATTACAATTATTGGTGATAAGTATATAATGACGCTCAGATAAAATGTATTAACAAAAATACCAAACTCCAAGGTAAATTCAAAAAGTCAAAAGCTTGACTACTAGTATATTTAACAACAGAATGAATGGAAAAAAAACTTTAATATTCCTTATGTGGTACAGGCATTCTTCGAAGAAAATGGTCGGTTAAACAAAAATTTCTTTTAACCTTCAACATTTCTGGATGGACATTTTGTACATTAAAAAAAAAAAAATAATAGCATCTAGCAAAACATGCACTGAACTATATATATAACCATAAATGTGTCAATTTTTTGTTTATTTTGATGTGATAAACAATTAACTATCTAATATAGATCAGTGGTTTCTCTTGAGGAAGACAAATAGATTGGTTCATACTTCTCAATAAAAATGTTATTGGTTTATTTTTTCTAAAGTTAACATAACTGATTCTTAATTATCTTTTATAAATAGATACAATCAATTTATGACCCAATTTCAAAGTAAAAATCAATCTACACACCGATGCTTGAATGAATTTGTCAGTCTTCCGAGAGTCAGGGTTACTAATATGTTCTATCTATAACACTATGGTGCAGTTGTTGAACACAGAAGCAAACATTTTTGTTGAGTCTAAAACAAATATGTCATAGTTGTCCTTAACAACATGATTAACAGGACCCCACAAGTAGTTTGGTGTAGAAACTAACATTTTTGTAATTCTTGTAATTATATCTTATAAAAACAGTAAAATCCAAAATCAATTTCTAAACTAAATAGTCAACACAGACACATAAATTATATCGACTTCAAGGATAAACAATTATTTGATGATAACTTCACCATGTGACAATCTTTTCCAAGAACTGTGGATTTGTAATTTGTGGGTTTTTTTGTCGGTTATGTCAGTAGACCAGGGGAGCCACCAATTACAGCATAAACATTAGAAGAAAGGGTATGATTACCAATGAGACAATCAACCATTACAGACCAAAGAACTGGAGCAAAATAAAAAATTTCTATAGGTTTGTCAAAACCACAAAATCATTATCCAAGATAATCATGATAATACAATTTTCTCTTTGACGCCATTATCAAATGAAGACATTGATCATGATGAATAAAAGATGATATAACCTTAATGTCAATAAGACAGCAATCAAACAAGAAATTTTCATTTATATGACACATTCTATGTTGCAAAATTTTGCAGTATAGCTCGATATCAGCAGGATTTTATTTTGTTTCCTTTTACAGTTGAGAGTAGCCACATGGTGGGGCAGAACCATTGAAATTTTCCAACTTGTTAATCACGACATCAAATCTAGAGTAGAATTTGTTTTGTTCTCATTTTATTTGACCAGTTACAAGAGAAATCCATTAAAAAAATTAAATGCTGATTCTAAAAGAGATAAAATCTTGAGTTGACATAGTAGTCTGTGATTGAGGACACACAGAAAAAGAAATATCTACACAAACTGCAGTGTACTTCCCCTTACCTAGGTCTTTCCCCATTTCTGTATGAGATAAAAGCTTGCATGGGAATAGATCAAGAAGATAGGTAGGACTTAGGTTGCTTACTGTAGGCCTGTGAAAAGGCAAAACTCAACACAAGTTTACTGCTCCTTTCCCTGAACTGATCCCTATTTAGTCAATATATATCCAGCAATTATGATGTCAGATGATTCGGATTTGATCAATACTTCAAGCTTTGAACAATAGTTAATTGCATGAAAATTGATATTTTTCAAAGATAATCCTGATGATAACATACAACTATTATGAAATGCAACAATATATGAACATCGTAAGTTATAAATAAAAAGTGTCAAAGAGAGGCATCGATATATTGGCATAATCCTTCAGATGACAATACATAGAGACTAACAGAGCATTCCAATTCGATGCCTTATCATAAATTTATAATTTTATAAATGTCAAGTGGTCTCCCAAGGGCTTAAACTTACATCAGAGTTCCCTGCAATTAAACATTTTCATCCTAGTTAAAGTAGGTATATATGATCAAAAGAATTGAGGGGCTCATTAGAAATGCAAAAATCAGAGTACTGTAAAGTGTATAGAGTGTAATTTTGCAATTTGTAGAACCAAACCTGTTCGTACATTTTTCTTTTTTTCAGACGGGTATTCAGGATTTGATTCTTATACCAGTTTCTGATATTCTGAGGGAATATTTTTTATCACAATTTCATCTAAGTTATACAATTAGCAAAAATAAATCCCTCATGAAGTTCTTTTTATATTAGTTTTGAAGGACTCTGTATGATACGTGTACATTCATCCTGTATAATTCAATTTTAGGGTTTTTGGGGTTTTTTTTCTCAAGTGCATGTTAGCATATGTGGATTGATGACCAATTATGAAATTTAAATTACACTATTTCAATATATAATTTGTCCAGATGACCAACTGCAGCACATTGTGGGAATATCCAGACATGGGTTCAATTACTTTTGAATGTAATTAATTACATTCAATAACAATTACAAAATTTTCAATTAAATTACACATTACATTTGGCTTTTTTAACCAATGTAATTAATTACTTTTCAATTACTTGGCAAATGTAATTAATTACTTCAATTACTTTTGAAAGGAAAATTTAGATAAAATATTGAAAACATGCATTTATTCTATGATATGTACATAAGTATCATTCCGAATATCCTCTTAAAATGTCTGAGACAAAATGTTTTCTCCTGTGAAGAAAACCCATTATAACCTGTAAATAGTACATGTATGTAAATGGAATATACATGTACAATTACGGGTTAACTTACCCGTTCATCTCTATTACTATGGCGATTTCTCCGTCGTGGACTTGGTGCTTCAATTTGTGTATAACTGAAAAAGACAAAAATAAAATACATAAAAAACTATCCAATTAGCAGTATCGGATTAAAGCTTAAAATTCAGTTATAACCATGAACCATGAATAATGAATCAACCAGTTTAATTTACAGCCTATAGATAAAAATAACATTCGCTTTTTGTTTTGATTTTTTCAACAACCAATTTATCGGCTGCAGTGGTGTAAACTGTGTGACCTTTTGCAGATATTAAACTAAAAATTCTATACTGGTTCTGTTTGCCAGTCAATGCTTATAAAGTGATACCAATTTAATAAAAATGAAAGCATCAGAAAATCAATGACTTTTTTCAATAAGTAATTAAATAACCTGTAACATATTTGCATTTTGTAACTTTATTTTAAGATAGATATAGTTGTATACATTATGGCAGTGTGTTTGTATACATTGATCATTCCAGTTGGTTTTATACAGGGCTCATTGAAATTGTATCAACAAGTATTCTATTTTAGAGAGCTTTATTAGTGACCTCAATAAAACCAAAGAATTCCAATACTACAGAGTTATAAGTGTGAATAAAAACAGATGAGGGATATATCTCAATGAGACATCAACCTAATGACATAAATAACCAAAAGACATCTAAATATAAAAATAAGGAGATGTGGTATGATTGCCAATGAGACAAATATCCACCGAAGTTCAAATGAAGTGGATGTAAGCAGTTATAGGCAACTGTATGGCCTTCAATAATGAGAAAAACCCATACCATATGGTCGGCTATAAAAGCCCCTAAAGCTTATTCTGTACTGAATTTAATGTACATTTTACTATGTCATTTAAGTTCTTTTTGTCATCAAGTAATAGACTCTTGCAACAACTCTCTGAGGGGTCTGTTGATGGCCTGTTGCAAGGCAAAATTTCTGTCCCTATCCAATACACCATAATTTTCAGTAGCAGTCCAAATTTCCTGACCTTTATTCCAGATGATTCCTACTGCAGGACCTACATGTTTTATTTATTCTCAATGTGTTCTCGTCCTGAACATGCATGAAATATTTGCCACTGGACATTAAGCAAAAAACAACCAATCAAGTGTAGAGATTATCATACAAAGAAGGGTAATTTCTTGCACCATTTGCCCATTTTTATTTCACATATTTTCAGGTTTAAATTGAAGTCTGTAATGGAAATAGACAGAAATACATCCTTAAAACAGGAAAAAGTAAAGTATTTTACATTCATCAGGAAATCACTTTATTTTACGTTCTTCTGTGCATGTACCCCCTTCTTCATGTCCTCTTAAATAATTATTATAAACGATTGATTGATTGTCGGTTGCTTAAAGTCCAGTGTTTATTATGATTGAAGATGCGGGGGTGACCATGTATGTACATTTACGGGAGAACATGTTTAAAATATTTTCTTAATTAAAACTATGGTCTCTTGGACTTCCTTTATTTAATTCTTTCTTTATGGGAAGTATAGGATTCTTTAATCATGTTCATTAAATCAAGTGCTTAAAGCTTAATTATTTATACTTCACAAAAGAAATTCAGATTAAATAACTTAATACTATTAGGTTAGGTGGGATTGGCAAAAATAATGATTTGTTTTTCACAACAAAACAAGTCTGATAGATAAATAACAACCTTGTAAATACATTTCCATTATGTTAAATGTATCGTGCGCACATGTATAAGCTTCAGACCTGGGGTAATTAAACAATGGAATTCATTACTTTTTTGCCAGGTGGCATGTAATTATGAATTACTTTTCAATTACTGTGAAAGTTCTTTTATTAAACCAGGTTTAACCCACCATTTTCTTCAAGGAAATGTCTGTATCAAGTCAGGATTATGACAGTTGTTAATCCCATCAATTTTTGAAAGGTTTTTTAATTTACCTTGGAGTTATGTTTATAATTTTTTATTTTGCAGATTCCACTTTCCGTGGTTTGTTGGAAAATCAAGATTGGTTGGTTGGTGGGTTTTTAAATCGTGGTTTCATGATTAGCATATGATAAATCAATAGGAAATTAACATTTTGTTGGGTACATGTATATAAATTCATTGTTTTAATGTACATGTACAACAAAATCTATAAAAAATTGGTACTCCACACACAAGTATTCAACAGTTCATTTCATCACAAATGTTCATTGATGTTTTTTTGCTATGGAATTAAAAAAAATTGTTTCTCTGATACACTCGCATAAATTTATGTAATTTGTATTTCTTTTCATCCATTTAGTATTCACATTTGAAAAAAACTTTGAGTTTTTCTTTTTACAATGTAAATTTTCATATTATGTTGAAGGAAATTATTTGCCTAAAATAGCATTTTTTTCAGGACTGATTGGTAATAACAACCTTACAAATTCAATTTTAACTGGGAATTAAGTACATGTAGCAATTTTCCAGAAATTTTGTGGTCTATTATAGTGTTTATATAATATTGACCTTTTACTGAACTTTTAACTTGGCACATACAATGCATATACAAATATACGTGTATTTTATACATTCTAACGGTGATAAATACATGTAGATTAACACTGATCAAACAGCTATTCAAAATTGGTGAATATATATAGATTATAAGGTGAAAAACTTTTCATAATGATTAAATTAAAAATTCTATTCTTTTGGTAGATTACTAGATAGTTTTCTCAATGCAATTGTCAATCATGCCACATCTCCTTCTTTTAATTACATCCATGGGTTTGTTTAGACTTGCTACAATTCCCTTTCTTTTATTTCTTTCTTACTAATTTATATGTTTACTGAAAACTACCAGTATACTGATTGCCCTTGGAGAAAAGCCTTCAGTATAATGGAAATCTCTAAATAGTTATAGCAGTAAAATTGTTAAAGGGGCAAAATTGAAAAAAAAAAGAAGAAGATTACGAAGGGACATTTAGCAAGTCTAGGGTTTGTTGTATTAGGTACAATTTACAAATGTGTATACCACCTCCCAGATTATATATAACTAAAATTATGGAAAACATTTTGATCAGTCCAAATCTACCTAGGACTGCATTTATCAACATTTTAATGTGTAAACTATCTGATGGCTTTAATCATATATATAAGTTGTCATTTAGCCAGCTAAAAGTATTTTTATAAAATAAGGAGATGTGGTATGATTGCCAATATGACGACTATATCCACCAGTGACCAAATGATGTAGATATTAGCAACTATAGGTCACTGTACAGCCTTCAACAATAAGCAAAACCCATATCATATGCCGGCTATAAAAGGCCCCTGACATAACAAAATGTAAAACAATTCAAATGAAAAAACCAATGGTTTAACTTATTTACAAAACAACAAACAAATATGATATTAATAGATACATTTGTATATGTCAATGAATGTCTGTATTTTTACTATTATAATGTACAAAAATGTAGCTGGGGGGATATATTTACTTCATGGAAGCCCTCACGTCCAAAGGTACATTGTACCTCAAAAAGACCAATTATTCTGACAATTAACAATAACCAAAGTGGTATTGTTGAGAAGGCTGCAGGACCGGCTACGACTCGAATTACCTTTGTATCCCAAGTATGATGCCACATCGGCAACGTTGCCTTAAATTTGATTAGTAACTAGTAAAAAGTCAAATTGAATAGCTGTTGTTTATTATGTTAAGAGTCAGATATCTAAAAATCATCCCCACATTAATGGTATCGTGACTAATGGAGTTACCGAAGCTCAAATCGATTAGAACGGGCAAATTGTAGTGCCGTTACCAGACTTTTACAAATATTTGTAGGAGCAAAGGAAAGTTCTGAATTTCGACAGAGAAGAGCTGTTAGCCATGTATGAAAACTTACAACAAAAGAAGAAGTTACTCGACACACTGAAGGAACAAATTGTGAATGCATCGGAAACAGAGGTTATAGAGACATTTTTTATTCTGAAATACATTATTTCCCTGAATACATCATCATGTATTGTGGATACATGTAAGAACATTGATTTTGTTTGACAAAAGGGAGATGTTTATTTGTGAAATGGCATCAATACATGTACACCAAATGTACATGTATCTACAAGGACAAGTATTGATAAATGTATTGAAACCAAAATAAGTAAACAAAGCAAGAATGAATATATTCTTGACAAGTTGTCAATATTGAACAGTCATTAAATTTTCATAAAATGTTTATCTTATTAATTTATTTCCGTACAAACTGACATTATGCTTATATTATGTCCCGAATCCATTTAATATGTATGAACTGTTTCAAAGGATGTCATCACTGTACAATTGAAATTGGAATTTTTAAGATAAATTATGAAGCCATTGTGTTTTAGTGTACACAGCTAAAGAGTACATGTATGTGTTGGTAGATTACCAATGTTATTGATCTTGATTGATCAATGGTGAACTTTTAATACCCTTATTCAAACTTTCATGTGATTTCCTTATCTTTATATATACAAGTACATGTATGGATAACATGTATAATGAAAGGTTTAAACTTAAACTGTTTCATTTCAGAATTGCAAAATTATTTCTCCATAGGAATTGAAAGTTTGAAGAATGTCCTTTGAATAATATATATACTACAAATTTAATTCCCATAACATAATTTCATCTCAGTACAATATATCTCATTTAAAAGGTAGCAAATTTATGAAAGGACTTCATTTGATGGTACTGGACTGGTATCATGTCAACAGGGATCCTAATCCAATTGGAAAGATGTACACTGTATTATATGTACACTGTATTATATGTACACTGTTTTATATGTACACTGTATTATTTGTACACTGTATTATATGTACACTGTATTATATGTACACTGTATTATATGTACACTGTATTATATGTACACTGTATTATATGTACACTGTATTATATGTACACTGTATTATATGTACACTGTATTATATGTACACTGTATTATATGTACACTGTATTATATGTACAGGAGACAAGAACCCCATAAACAGATAACAAATGTGGAAGGAAACAAATTTATTAGTGATTAACAATCTTACTTTGAATTGACCA